CGCATACAGGAAGTACAACAACCGCTGCCTGGACGGTGAGTGCCAGTAGCAAGGGCATGCACATCAAACGGCTGTTGTATATGTGTTTTTGTTGAACTGTAGGATAGCCCATTTATACGTTGTCAGCATCACTGAGACGACCATTAACCAGACAGTTGGGTTGTTTTCTCTTTGTCGTCTGTTTTTGTTTTTTTTAATTATCTTTTTCTTGTCCACCTCCAGGCCAACCCATGAAGTGTAACCTTCATATTCAGGGAAATGTCATCACTTCTGATCAGCCCATTCTGTTGTAAGTAAACAAGCCCGCAGGTTTTCATTCCTTCATTTCAAATTAATCTGTAGTTGACTGTGTTTACATGCACATACTTTAGTTTGCATATTTACTGTGAACTGTAATTTTACCCTGCCTCAAGTGACTGAAATTCATGTTCCCCATTTATTCCTTTTTAAGTATAAAGAATAGTGCCGTTGCTTCTATTAAACTTGCAAGTATAATCACCAGTGACTATCCTGCTACTGCTTGAGTATTTTCAGGTGACTAGCTGCCTTTTGAAGCGGTTACTCAGATAACACATTTAATGATTGGATTATACAGTTCAAACTCTGGATATAGTGTTTCCAGCTGACCACTCACAACAAGTTTTGATAGAAATCTGATGTAGTTAAGTTTAGCTTCAAATTGAATTGTGACTGCTATTGAATGCTGCTGTTGTTCTAAGGACTCTTAAGGACTATAAGGCTTTTTGAATGATGACCAATCACTTTTTAGCTCCTGAGGAAATCTTACATGCCCCCCTCTCTCCTTGACTTCTACAGGAGGCTCAGTGATACTCCAGGGATAGGTGGTGGTACAAAAAAAGACGGTTTGCCCCCCTCCTTGTCTCGCCCTGCCGGTCAGCGAGCCTCTTCTCAGCCCACTCCAGAGGTGGACCCCCAGACCATCCTCAAAGCTCTGTTCAAGTCCACTGCACAGTCCACCTCCACCACTGAGCCCCCGAGCTCACAGGCCACTGCCTTTCGCATCAAGATATAGCTCATGTCTAGTGTGAATACGCTGTCTGTTCATAAACATATAACTGCATTCTCAGTGTTCACATACAAACTGTGTTTTTCACCCTGACAGCGGCAGGCAGCGCGGGTTTTCTCATATGAAGCCGATTTTTACACATTTGATATACATGACTTCTCTGAAATTCATGGATACCCAACATCTTGTTGTATAGTATCCAAATGTCACCTGTTTGTTCCTGAGATGGACCAGTGGAAAGAAGTGAGATGTGATTTGTTGTTTTAATCCAATGTGGTGGGGGATGCCAAATCAAACTCGATATGTAGGGATTTTTTTTATTTTTCACCAATTCGATGCCAAACTGTAAGAATATGTTGAGTAATTTTAATACTCCAGTATAACTCCAGCTACCCCATGTCCCAAATAAAAAGGAAAGGGGTAAAAAAACAGACACTAAGCAGCATTGAAAGATAGTGTTTATTGAGAGGAGGTCCTGTATATCCACACAGGTGTGTTCAGTTATATCATCGGACCATAGAAATAAATCAGAATATAGACCAAACCTAAATAGAAGAAACACAAAACGGTAGATACAGCATCTTTCTGATCGAGCAGGACAATGAAGGTGTCCTCACCAAGTCCTTGCCACAAGTCCATTCTATCCAACTTCACCTACAGAAGAGGTCTTCCTATCCAAGATAACTGAAAACAGTCAGTCAGTCAGGGGTAGACAGAAATGTAAACACCCTAATTTCAGAAAAACCAGTTATCAAGCAGTCATTTTATGTTGATACTTTGTTTTTACCATCCCTGTGGCATCCATTCTTGTGTGCTCTGTGACTGGTTTTAGCTGGTTGTCCAGTTTTGAAGCAGTAAATGTTTAATTCTTTGTAGTATACATTACACTATTTCTTTTCAAGGACTGTAAATTACGTTCTGTTGCTTTCTTGGTATGTCAGTGAAGAAGAAACTAGAGAGGTCAGATCTGTCTGTGAAATGTCGCCATTAAATATTTAGCTTTGTAGATGTTGTCTGAGACTTGTCTTTCCTGCTGCCATTTGATGATCACACACATACAGCTTTCTTAAAACTTTACACTAGTAACGGAACATACAATATACATTTGACATATTTACAACTAAAGCCCTTTTGGGTTAAGTAATAGGTGATGTTCCTTAAAACTAGTTTTAATTTATTTCTTACCTCAAGTGAACAAATGTCTTTAAACAATTAAAAACCCTTCATGTAATGAGTTCCTTATCTGAAAGCTTTAATGGCCTATTTTTGGTACAGTATTTATGGTTGTTAACAGAAGGGATGGCTCAATGGGAGCACATTAGTGATGAGAAGACTTGTTCATTTAAGTAACCTGCTTTAGAGTTTGGAGCAGGGGTCTTTAATTAAAATTCAGAGAGGTTCAGTTCAGAAAACTTTGTCAAGAAAAGATCCAGGACAGCTCGATTGAGCCATGTCTTTATATATGTACGACTTCATGAACTTCCTCATAAGACAATTATATATATATATATATATATATATATATATATATATATATATATATTATATATATATATATATATATATATATATATATATACAATTTCGGTATTGTTTGGGTTGTTATTATATTTATTTAAAAAAAAACAAACATTTAAATTCCGTACTTGCTTTTAGTTGTACTTCCGGTGTAAAAGGTCACACCAAGATGGCGCCGTCCAAGAAGAAACATGCCAGTAGCCAGCCTTGTATCATTCCTGGAGGATTTACAGGTATTAATTGACAAAATGAACAGTATTATATTCAGTTATTCCCGCTAGCATACTGACTTACCCTGGGACAGAAGCTCCTCTCGTCGTTCCTCAGGGTTCGGGTGGTTTCATTGTCCTGTGGCCGTCGGCAGCCATCGCTCGGTGATGGCCACTGGCTTGATAACAATGATGGCAGAAAGTGCACTGAGTGATGTGTTGGCTTCAGGTTTGTTTGTGTTTTCCTGTTTCTCTTCGCAGTGCTGCCTTTACAGTTTAGTTCCGACAGCGTTGCACAGCACAGTCTGTATGTGAAAGAGCACAGAGTCCGAGCAGAGAGGAGCTCACACAGACCTCTGGACCGGACTTTATTTGTGCTCAACATCCCCCCGTACTGTTCAGAGGTACCGTTTATGTTGCTGTTACCTAATGAATGGCTACCTGTAGGCATTAGGTGATATATTAGTAGTCATTGCTGTACTGCTGTGTGTGTTTTCAGGATGTTGTCAAAGACTTGTTCTCGCAGTTTGGCTGTGTTGAGTCCGTGGAGCTGAGAGACCACCCGGGCACCTTTTGGGAGTCTGGACCCAGGCTGTCCAAGGTCTTTAAACCAGTTGCAAAACAGGTGAGTTCTGCCTGCTGTAACACTAGGAGCACACATTCATTCATTCTCTGTACTTACTGTGTGCATATTTCAGATCATTTCCTCACCTGTTGTGTCTCTGTCTGCCCCTTCCAGGGTTTCAAAGTGGGCTACATTGTGTTTCAAAACTCCTCCAGTATAACAGCAGCTAAGTCTCACCCACATGATGTGCCTCTGGTGGTCTGCACAGAGCAGCGTCCAGTGAGGACAGGAGTACAGAGTGAGTGACGCTACAGCGATGCATCCATTTTTATTAATGCAATGTTTAGACTTGTTAATATACCTCTAGTATTACAACTTCGGTGTGAGACAGGTTCTTTACAAACGAGTCTTACAAAATATTCATGGTACACGTTGCACTTTCTCCTGCCAGAATGGATTCAGCAGTACAGACAGTCCTTCATTAATCCGGACAAACTGCAGCAAATAGTCGACTCCTTTATGACAGACTACGACAAGCGGAAAGAAGAGGTGAGGATTCTGCAGCTCTTCCTCCTGCATCGCCTGCCCGTCTGGTCCGTGTGATTTCAATATGGGGTTTGTTTTCTTTGTCGCAGGACGCGGAGAGGCAGAGGAAGGAGATTGAGCAGCAGCAAGAGGATGAGGAGGGCTGGGTGAAAGTCACAAGAGGACCAAAGGGCACCAAGGCCCGCCCGCACAGCGAGGCAGCTAACAAGAGGACTCTACATAAAGAGTTTAGGAAGAAGAAGAGGAAGGAGCTCATGAACTTCTACACCTGGCAGCACAGAAACACACAGAAAGAACGTAAGTTGCCCTTTCGGTTTATCCTTTTCTTCATCTGCAGGCTAGAATTTGCTTTGGTGAGGAAGATAGAGAAGCCATCAAGCAATGTTTTGGTTAACTATATTTTGTTTCTCTTTTTCAGATATTGCTGAGCTAAGGAAAAAGTTCGAGGAGGATAAACAGAGAATAGCTCTGCTGAGGGCGCAGAGAAAGTTCAGACCTTACTGAGTCCCTACCCCAATTTTCCTTATTTCACTGCTTTTGTGTGTTTTAGCTACATTATAAACATGAGCATTTCTTTTTGTGTTAATAAACTCTTCTGATTGACAGTTTTCATGATTATTGAATCATCAGCACCTCACAGGAGACTAATGACATTTGGGAAATGAGTGATGTTGACAGAAGAAAGCATTTGATTAAGACCAAGTACAGCATCAAGTATAAACCTTTCATATAATGAAATGGAATATAATCGAACTATATTTTATATTAGTGTATTTTACCTGAATTTAAAGAATTAATGTTTTCATTAGCCTAGAATGAGCCTTTTAAATCTAAAGCTGCCGCGGATCGCCTTCCATATTGAACTGCCGTATTTCTACAGTAGCCGAGAACAGATGAACCAAACACTGGCTCTAGATACGGGCTCTCATGCTCTTGGCATGTTAAACGGTAGTTTCTCCGTTGAAAGAAGGTGAGGGTAATGCGAGGGAGTTGCAATCTACAACTACACTGCTAAATGCCACCAAATCCTACACAATGGTCCTGTGATCACATCAGCAATCCTAGCACCTGTTCCTGATGTAAAATACAAAGCATACAAAAACACCTTTGAATGTGCACCACAGGATGAAATATTTTATTGAGATTGTTCACCGTCAACCTGTGCACCACGAGCTTGCTGTGCTTTTGACTTCTGCCACTTCCTGATATTTGACCATGTAGTGAACAGCAGGATCAATAGCAGGGCAGAACCAACACCCGAGAGCATATATACAGTCACCTGAAACACTGAGCAACAGAGAAAAAAACATTTAATGCAAGTTTTGCTGTTGTTCTGTCACATGGTAACTTAGTTTTGTGCTAAGCAGGACCTACTAGTGTTCTGTTTCACACACAGGTTGTCCTCTAGTTCAGTGTTGTTCTGTCCCAGCAGCAGTGGCCCTAAAGAGACCAGCTGGACCTGGTCGGACTGTGACGTTGCCTGTCTTCTCTGTCTGTCACCCTCAGATGCTGTGGGAAGAGAGTCAGAAGTTTAACACCACATACTCAGCAGAGGCAGTCAGTGTACGAGATGAAGCAGACAGTAATATACTCACAAATGATGGCGCAACGCTGTGCACAGTCAACATGGTTGGTGCAGATCTCCACCCAACAGTAGAAGTACATCTAAGTGAGAGATTACACATAGCCATGTCTGCAGAGATACACACTTAATGTTACTGACATATGTGGATATGATCACCTTACTTCCTCTACACTTGGATGGCCTGTATGAGGGTCCAAGAAGGCAAAGGTCTTGACATCAAACCTCCTGACTTGGGAGTGGGAGGTGGTCTTCCCTTGGTTGTCCACAGGGAAAGAGCTCCTCATGCTATCCAGAGGGTTGGGACATCTATCCAGGAAGGAGAAGTCAGCTGCTCAGTAACTTATGCACATCCAATCAGTGATCGCATCTCAGGTTGCCACAGTGATTGGCTCTACCTTACCCGTCATAGAGAAGCGTCCACACAGAGTGTCTAGACGCAGGGTATGCAAAGCAATCCCGTACACGCAGGGAAAGCGTAGGGTCTGGGGGCGGCTGGGCGATGGAGATCTCCACATACACAGCTTTACGCAGGGGAAAGTTCACAGGAAGCTGGTCCTCAGGAAAGAAGGATGTGAAGGATGCATCTAGAGGAACAAATAATCACAGATAAAGTAACTCAGATCTTGACATGACATGCAAAACCCTTCTCTCCATTTTATCACCTCTGGCTATCCTCATCTGCACTCTGAAGGCTCCTTGTGCAACCACAGGCGGTGGGTTGGTCACTGGAAACAAGGACCGCAAATTTGCTGCTCGCTTTAAATCTGACGACTCATATTCACACTGGACCTGGAGACTAAAAAAAAAAAAAAAGCCATACTACTTAGTATATTTGTCACTACCAGTACACTTTAATTGTGAGATAATTAATTTTCTAACCCCTGTCCACTCTGTCAGAGCCATCAGCTTTACAGTAGGTTACAGAAGATGTAAAAACTGACCTAAATGGTGAATTATTGGTGATACTTTTAGTATGCAGCTCCTCCACTTCCACCTCATAGATCATCACATCTCCATCTACCTAAAAACCAAGAAGTCAGAATCAGTTATTTACTGATATTCGACCCATATGCAAAAACATTTCAGTGAGACAATCTGAGCTCTATACAGTATTTGAATTTAGATATTCTTTTCTAAAATGCTTTGTAAAAAAGTTTTAAAAGTCCATCTGCAGCAAAAAAATTGTTTTTCTTCAGTCATGCTGCTTTTATAGTAACCACTCATGTGACTGAATTTCATACCAGAATTAAGTTTGTCAAAGAAGGTGATTAAAGGAATCAAACTCATACCTTCATCTTTGCACCACACTCCATGACTGCAATCTTGAAAACAGCCGTGTCTGGGGTGGTGACCACAGGGAAACACTGTGGCTGACCCTTAACTATGAGGTTCCCGGGATCGATGGGCGAGTCTGTGTCTGTAGCCTTTACTGAGAACACAAAGTGTCCATCCAGAGAGCAGGCTGGAAGGGAAGGAGTGTCAGCACACAGGACTTTCTTACTCAAACCAGCAAGATTAGCGTAAGTTCTTATTTGGACGAAAGGTCAGTTCACTTCCATGTATAAAGTGCTTTCATAGGTAAGACAAAAATCTTACCATTGAGTCTGTAGTAGCAGGTTGAATCACGAGCATCGTAGCAGCATCCCAGTTTGGAGCAGCCCTCATTGGAAATGCTTTGGTGGCCACAGTCCACTCGTAGAGCTCTTTCTATGTCACAGTTTCCAGGTAATGCTGGAGAAGAGCCATGTTTTTAGCGCCACTGTAAATTGTGTTGTGCTAAAAAACCCTCTATGTATTGTAAATGACAACCCCATGGCATCACTTGTGTGTAGAGAAAACTCTTAACAAAGTTTAAGTTTTAATTGATGAAACGGATGAAAAATGAGCACTGACTTCAGATATGGAGCACATAATTGTGTCATGTCCTTGTTTAAGCTCAATCGCCATCTCCACTCACGTGTTGGAATAAGTTGAGTCCTCTCGCTGGCTCTCTTTATCAGAGGACAGCTGATATTTACCCGGAACCATCGGTCCTCTCCCGTCAGCTGTACCTGCAGAGATATGACTACTTTGCTTCCCTGAGGATCAAAGGTCGTCACAGTGTGGATGTGAAGGAGCCGTGCACACTAGTAGCATTTACATTCACACACAACTCCACAGTGCGTGTCTATATTCCCTTCTGTAGTAGTTCTCAATGTACAGTAAATAAGAGGAACAATTGCATATTGAGTTTCAGACAGACATATTTATATTTCCATGATGGTTTTACTATTTAAACTGTGCAAATAATGGTAATAAAACATGTTATTTCAATGCATATACATTTTAAACACCTTTAAACTATTAGATTAAATTACTTAAATTGGTTCTTATTACCATCTAATCCATACATTAGTTAGATTCATTGGTGATCGCTATCAAGAGATGCTGCCTGCTTGTTTTTATCCTAGCTATTGGTTGAAGAATAAAGAAAGGCTGGAAGTTTCTATAAACAGGACACATCATCTTAAGTTGTTATCTATAATTGCTCATTTCTCTGCAATTGTGTGCTTTGGTGGCTGGGAGAAAAATATGATTCCATGAAAACATTAGTCCAAATTGGAGTATGCCATCTTTCATTCTTAGTTAATGGAAAACTGAATTGCAACAATCAATAGTGTTTAATCCCTTAGAAACATTGTGGGCATTAAGGGCAGGCTGCAAAAAAATATTAGTACCACTGGGAGGGCCTTGCTTTTGAAAAACATAATGTCCAGCCCAATAACTCTGGTTCCTTTATATATTTATTTATTTACATTTATGCAGTCTTACTTTACCTTAATCTGTGAATAGCAGCTGTCATATCTGCTGAAGACAGACAGGCTGCGGTTTTTCTCTCTGCCCAGTCTCACTCCACAGGACCCATCAGACTGGGGCACTGGGATTGTGGCCCCTGACACGTCTAAGAAGACAACAAAGCACACACGATGCTGATAGATTCAATGCGACTGTTCAGAGCCCATTTTGGAACTATTTAACACTCTGTAGGCTACCGACACGACTTCCAGACATGTTTTGCTATCCGTCTCAGGGGTATAGTGCTGCCTATATGTGATCTTACCTTGAACATGTATGTTACTTTTGACTAGCGGGTCAAACACAGCTCTTATCCTCCGGGCAGAGCAGGTGACTCTGGGCAGGGCGAGCTGCTCGGGTGTCCTCTTCATCAGGACGGTCGAGAAACAGCAACAGTGCGGAGCCATGAGGGCGAACATGAAAGAAAGTAAAGAACATTTTACACACTGATTTTTCATCTCCTTATACTTTAGGCTATGTGTTTTTTTTTTTTGCAAATACGGTTTTGAACCCAGAGATACCAGGTCCGTCTTTGACGCTAGGAAGTTGTCACGTGACAACTGTTAATTAGTGTTAATTAGTTTGGGGCCTGCTGCCTCGTCTACCTGAGGACAAGCTTTTTTTTTAGGGTGGGTGAGCAAAAGTACAATATACATGTTTATTGTTGGAATACCTGTGTCTGGGAAACTTACTAAGGTAAGTGACTACTGTTCTGGACAATTAAGAGTCAAATGCTACATGAAAATAAAATAAACAGTTTAAAAAAAAGGGTAATCCATTTAACTTGTAGCATCCTCTGGAGATTTATATAATAATGTAATCATTTCAACCTGTGCGCCCTGAGAGCTTCCGGCCTGGTTGAAGCGGATTTGAAAAGTAGGCCAGAATAAGCTGGTAATTAATAAAAAGGTCATCGTTTAAATAATATGTATCATGCTGAGTATTATGCATGGCCCAACTTATCCTCAGGGAGCACATTAAATGAAATCATTGCGTAACTCAAAGGCCTTGCCAACCTCACTCCCTTCCCTCTCCCTATGGCCATGCTTGTACCCATCTAATTATTACATAAGCAATCTTAAAGTCCCCCTCTACTCATAAATCAGTTCAATTCAATTTCAATTCAATTTTATTTGTATAGCGCCAATTCATAACAGAAGTTATCTCAGGACACTTTTCAAATAGAGCAGGTCTAGGCCAAACTCTTTATAACATTATTTACAGAGACCCAACAGTACCACCATGAGCAAGCACTTGGTGACAAGGGCATGGAAAAACTGCCTGTTAAAAGGCAGAAACCTAGGACAGATCCTCCGGCTCTAGGTGGGTGGTCGTCTGTCTCGACCAGTTGGGGAGAGAGAGAGAGAGAGAGACAGAGACAGACACAGACAGGTGCACAGCAACAACAGTATTGGCAATGGCAATCTAGCAGGACCATGGCAGGAGGCTCCACCAGGATCGATAAGAACCTGCAAGACGAGAAAGCACAAGAACTCCGGGGAAGAAGTGAAGTTAGTAACATGCATTAATGGGACATGAATGAGTGCAGAAAGAGAGAGAGCGGAAGAGAGGAGCTTAGTGCACCATGGGAAATCCCCCGATAGTCTAGGCCTATAGCAGCATAACTAAGGGATGGTTCAGGACTCACCTGATCCAGCCCTAACTATAAGCTTTATCAAAGAGGAATGTCTTAAGCCTACTCTTAAATGTGGTGAGGGTGTCTGCTTCCCGAACCACAACTGGAAGCTGGTTCCACAGGAGAGGAGCTTGGTAACTGAAGGCTCTGGCTCCTGTTCTACTTTTAGAGACTATGGGAACCACAAGTAGCCCAGCATTCAGAGAACGTAGTGTTCTAGTGGGGTAATAGGGTACTATGAGCTCTTTAAGATATGAAGGGGCCTGACCATGAAGAGCTTTATAGGTGAGAGGGAGGATTTTAAATTCTATTCTACATTTTACAGGGAGCCAATGCAGAGAAGCTAGTACAGGAGAGATGTGATCTCTTTTTCTAGTTCCTGTCAGTACTCGTGCTGCAGCGATCTGAATTAATTGGAGCGTTTTAATGGACTTATTGGGGCAACCTGATAATAAAGAGTTGTAGTAATCCAGCCTTGAAGTAACAAATGCATGGATTAGTTTTTCTGCATCTGTCTGTGATAGTATGTGTCTAATTTTTCTAATATTACGTAAATGAAAGAAGGCAGTCCTAGAGGTCTGCTTTATGTGGGAGTTAAATGACAAATCCTGATCAAAGATAACTCCAAGATTCCTGACAGTGGTGCTAGAAGCCAAGGTAATGCCATCTAGAGTAACTATATCTTTAGACAGTGAGTCTCTAAGGTTTTTCTTGTTCCTACAGTGTGATGTTTCATTGATGTCTGTGCAGTTTGACACTAGAAGGATGTTTTCACATTCATCTGTTGACAGTGGAAAGTTTCTCTGTGCTCATGGATCATTTGATTTTAAGGTGCGGGGCCTACCAGCATGATTTAATGATTTGTTACATCACAAATAGTCTGGATGTCCATCCTGGTCCAGTATGCAATTTATACAAGTGGGACATAGAAACTTGAATCCACCAGTGGACATCCACTGAGAATGGACTTTCCAGTGAAGTAGGAGACATCTTGTGTCCAGCAGGAAAACTTTAGAAAGCAACAAAATTTGCATATTCGTGGAGTTTAGTCATTTAGTAATACATTTTCATTTCAGTAGTAATATCAGTTACACCCTCCAAAAAATACATTTGCTGTCACCCTCTACTGATTTGAAATCCAACAATCTAATCACATCCTTGGATTCATTTTTGTAGTCGTGGAGGAAACTAGTTTGGAAGACGGAAATGCTTACATTCAGCAGCTGGAAATATTCCCATTACTTTGATTTTAAGAGAAAGTAAGTCTGGCTTTTGGGGAGAAAGGACACGATTACCATTTATGTGGAGAGTTGCAGAAAAGTAATAACTAGTAATGTAACTAATTACTTTTGAAAAGAGTAACAAGTAAAGAGTATTAAATTACATTTGTGAATAACTAGTGATCCTGTGTTCACTGCCGCAGCCTGTCAGGGTTTCAGATGAAGCTCCATTTGTGCTGCTTTGATACATCTGTGATCACTATTAAAAGCCCATTCATTCTTCAAGTAATTTGGTTTTTGAACTCGTGTTACAATGAGCTGCTCATCAGCTGTCTCACGGTAAATCACGAGTTGTCGTGACGCTGTCGTGACGTAACGCCAGTGACGTTTCTGGGGCATCCCGACGTTGTGACGGACTTTTAGCACAGAGGCAACAGAAGAGCCGAAGACGTCTCGCAAACATGGCTTTGAATCGGAATCATTCGCAAAACGGCGGCGTTTTGATAAACAACGGAGAGAGGTATGTTATGATAATGCGTCTGTGTGGCTGATTGTGTTAACTAGCTAGCTGTCGTCTCCCTTCTTGGCTTGTTTACCTTCTTCTTTCCAGTGCGTAGTCAACACAATGCTATCCAACCGCTAGCCTCCCGCTAGCTGGCCTGCTGAACACTAGCATAGCTAACACACATCTCTGCTCCATTGTTGACGTTTGCGTTAGCTATGTAGGTCATCTCGGGGCAAAACAAATGTTGAGTTCACTGTTTGAAACTGGGGTAATATAATATGATTAATGGCCGGCTGTGCAGTCTTCCCGGATCTTGACATTTGATTTAAGCAACGTAACGTTAGCCAACGATGAAAAGAGGAAGTGTCGGTTCTTTTCTTTTGGATGTTGACACCTTGTTCACACCACGGTTTCAACTTTAGTTTGACCATGTTGTGTAATGTGGGTTGGCTACACGTTGTGAAACACACTAGTTTGATACAATTCTCACATGCATATTTAACAACAACAGCATCAATAATAACAACAACAACAATAATAATAACATCTATGCTCACATGTCTCTCTGTCTACTGTTTTAAACTACTTGATTGTTATGCAGTATATTTTATACCTTTTTTAATATTACACTGGAACACTATTTGCACTGTCCCTGTTGTTGTTTACCTGCCTCATCCAAGTGGCTTTACGACTTTAAATATACAGATAAAGGACCTACTACTTCATATTCATATTTAGCATCTTGTTTCTATCGCTGCTGCTGGTCACTGAGTCACCGGACAATATTTCGCTGTATGCCTACAATGATAAAGTGTCTTATGTCTTAATAGCCTGTACCGTAATTCTACCAACATATATTTTATAGTGGCTGTAACAGGGTACTGTTTCCTCTTCCCCCAGTGTTTTAAGGGAATGTAAGAATGTGGAGCTGTCATTCAGCGATGTCACCTGCAAGACAGACCTGCTGAGGGGGACCAAGAAGGGCACCATTTACCTCACACCATACAGGGTACAGACACAGTTACATCAAATATAACATACTATCGCTGCTGCTGAGCTCTTGGATGGAAAGTTGGCAGTTTTTATATTCTCCTACATCCTATCGTAACTCTCCTTGTGCACCCTCTTGTCTCTTTTCCATATCCACTGGTTTAGTTGCTGTTTGTGTCCAGTAATACTAAGGATTGCCTGGGTTCAGCCATGTTCCCCTATTATCTGATGAAGGGCTGCAGCATTGAGCAGCCTGTCTTTGCAGCCAACTACATTAAAGGGACAGTGTCAGCTGAGGCTGGTGGTAGGTGGCCTTCGGTTTTTACCTTTTAACTTTGATTTGTTTGAATTTGTGTCAATAATAGTCATTTGTTTCATTTTGGTGCTTTACCTTAGTCAAAATAAAAGCCCCTCTCACTCACCTCTGTTTCACTTTCACAATAAAACACAAGTGTCGCTTTTTGTATTTTCTCTAAATGTAGTTGACTCTCCCTCATCAGGTGGCTGGGAGGGCCAGGCCCATTTCAAGATGTCCTTCCCCAGTGGAGGAGCCATAGAGGTGGGGCAACATCTCTTCAAACTGGCCACAAATGGTTTGTATGCTAGTTTTCTTAATCACTGTGTATTACTTTCTACAATGCTAAATGTTAATTGAATATTCATTCATCCAAGGGTGATGAAAGTATTTAAACCCTCAACGAAGTAACAATGCCACAATATAAAAATACTACATTCAGGGTTAAAATATTAACCGTAAATAAGTATTAAATGTACTGCACCAAAAAGTGCCTTTCATACATTTAACATAGGAAGTTGTGAAAAAGCTGTGAGTGAACACACACACACATACACACGTAACTTTTGGAAATTCTAGTTTTGTTGTGAAAGACCCTTTCCTCTTGCTGTGTTTCAGCTTCTCGTGCCGCTCCTGCCCAAAACGGTGCGGCCTCTTACGGCTATCCTTCACCTGGACCGATGAATGGCTACGGCCCACCTCCTCCCGCCTATCCTTACCCAACCCCTCCCCAGCAGAATGGATTCTACCAGGGCCCTCTCCCTGCTGCTGGCAACATGGGCTACCCCTGTCCAACAGCCGCTGCAGGTACAGTCCTGAAGGCACCCATGCCAAATGAAGCGCAGCGCTTTTAAGATGGTTGTTACAGCGTTACATTTAATTAGCTAAAATAAACTTAACACAAGGTGAATTTATTAGCTTTTTTTTCTGTAGATTTCTTTCACTTTCTTTGTTCTTTCACTTTCATGATCAGTAAATGTAATGTAGAAAAAGCCAGTATATACTCTTAAGACGTGGACAAACTTTAATCCTATTCAGCCTTTAGCTTATGTTTGCCACACATTTATATCTGTCAAATGTCCTCATTGTGCATAATTAAAAACCCTTGAGGCACAGATAAAGCTGCAGTTTCTCTCTCCCTGTCAGAGTTTAGGTTTTTGTTTTTTGGTCTTTTCTGTGTAACTAATTACCGACACAGACTGTAACCTCGTTTGACATTGAAACTCCATCTCTCTCTCTCTCTCTTTTTTTTTCCTTCGGTCTTCTCTGTTCCAGGAATGTACCCAGCTGGTTTTGACTACATGGCCCCACCTCCTCCCTACCCCGGGCCACCCCAAAATTGGGCTGCAACCCCCCAGAACTGGGCAGCAGCAGCACCACCACCTCCTCCAGGTCTGTTTCTCTCTCGCGCTCTCTCTTTGTTTTTTCTCTCTCTCTGTATGTCTGTGTCACTGCACCCGTCAGATCTCATCTGTCTGCCTCAAAGTGAATCACTTCGAATCACGCCACCAAAAAAGGGGTTCTGATGTCTCATCCGTTACACATCAAAATTACAAAGGATAAACCATCTCCCCTCTCCCTCTCCAATCCCGTTATCTTTTCTAGCACCTTGTGGATTTCAATGCAAACTGTCTCACCCGGCACATGGGGTGAGCTGGGTACACTGTGCTGAAACGTCAGTTTGGCATATCTCTATTTTAGGAAGAGCTTGAGTAGGACGTTTGCCTCTGAGCATCCTGAGGGTGTGCCATTAGATTCTGTCTCCAGGAGTCCTGGAGCTCTCAGTTGTTGTGCTTCACATGACTAATACTGTGCTCCTCGCATCCGTTCGCCTTACAATGTTAGGAGCCGTAGCATCTGTTCCTAAATATGTTCAGCAGTCATTACTGTCTGTCTTTATCACCCCGTCTTTGTCATGTCTCATTGTTTATGTACAGGTAACTCCAAGGCGGCCGAAGCAGCAGGCAGTGCGTATTACAATCCCAGCAATCCACACAATGTCTACATGCCCATGGTAAGCTGCTTTTCCTGTCTTCTCCTCAGTTAAAGTTGTGTGGAAGTGACATGTGAGTTCTCTTTTTAATAGCGCTTTTACAATTTATAATTTATTTTTCTTTTCTTCCCAAGCAGGAGCGGCCTCCACCGTATGCACCTTATCCAAACTCTCCTGACAAGAAACACAACTAAGACTCAGGCATCATCACTTCAATGACACTCCTCTCTCTTCCTCTGTATCTTAAATATATTCTAAAGCGAGAACAAATGTTGATGGATACCCAGTCGATCATAGAATAATGAAAAGAAAGTGCAAGTAATAGAGGGCTCAAAGATGTCAGTGATAATTCACCAATGAATTCATATTTTGGATACATACTGGAGTAGCTTATAAAGCAATTGCATCTTTTAAATACTGTTTTCCCCTTTTTATTTAAGTAAATGATTGACAACTTGTAACTCTAGCTTTTTGGGGGCTCATCATTATTAACATTCTCAGTGATGAGATTTATTTTGTTCAGTCTAATCTAATCTCTAGCGTGCAGGCAGGTCAGGGGCACCTAAACTGTCCTTGTTCAGAGCTGAAAGGAGGAGGCAGTATGATGGAATGTATTTTTTAGGACAGATTTATTACCAAAACATTTTGTAGCAATTTCTTGATTGCAGTTCCTACAGTTATTAACAATAGCAACACTTATTATAAAAGTATTTTTGCAGTATCATTGAAGGTACAGTGTGTATTTCCTATATAGTAGTTTTGAGTTGAGTAGTTGTCCATATACAAAACCAGAACTGGGTTGAATAGTCGTAAGTAATACAACATCTGGCTGATTCTCATACTATGAGTAGAAGAGTTGAAGTTTCCTTCATATATGACCAATGTGATCTTGTACTACATCAGTTACATTACAGTCTAAGTAATTCCATCTCCATCATAATTTAATATAAATAATGGAGGTTTTTGTTATGAAAAGGAGCAGTGAATTGTTTGGGGGAAAAAAGGTGGGGATCAGGTAGATTTCTTACGTAACAAGTCTATGTATGTGCAATATTTTTAAACATCACATAACAAGGTTATAGGTGACAGGCTGGGGTTACCTGAATGACCCCGGGTCCTACTCCTAGCTTCTATTGTATTCATGTATGCAAAGCCAAACTGAAACCAGAACTCCACTCTTTGTGTAATTATACTAGTGTGGGGTTACAGAGCCGCAGCGGTGCATTAAGGGCCGTCAGTGTTTGCCTGCTGTTGAAACTTCCGAATGAAAACCATTTATTCCTGATTAAAGTGAGGTGAGGCGCCAACAGGCCATGTAATTGCCCCCCCCCCCATTGTGCATCAGTTAACACCTGTATGAAGGAATATTTGCACACAGTTGTTGTGGATAGAGGTTTTTGCTTTGGGAGGGTTTAGTTTGCTTGAATTAATCAAATGTCTGTATATTAATATCTCTTTTGCAGTTATTTTTCCTCTTGCTGAATTTTGCCTGTCAATTAAAATCTAATAAGTCAATTATTGAATTTTGCTTTTCATTTATCTGATCTTCATAACTTTTAAACCTATTAAATGGATTGTTTGACATTTACTGAATTATTGCAGCATTTTCTTCATCAAGCCATCGATTCATGTTTAATCTATTATTACTTATTGCTGGCTTTCTTATGCGCCATTATTATTATTATTATTATCATTGTCCAAATTAAAGGCTTCACGTTGACTAATTCAGATTACTTTTCAAGTAATATGAAACCAGATGTGTGTGTCAGGTCTATTGAAGTCGTTTCTTTTTACTTTGTTGTTATAACACTGGAAATAGTGAAACTGTACAGTAGAACATTTTCCATAACTGTTTAGACTGGTCCCTAACAGCATTTCACACAATTAAGAAATAGGACAATTAGAATTATCCACACTCTTACTGAATGATATATTTATTATGTTATGAAACACTATCAAACCTGAACATTATATTTACCCTTATCACAGAAAGTCACACTGTACAGATGTTTCTCATAACACAGTTTAAAGAGTCTAAATGAATAAAGATGGCATTGTCATGCACTAAAACACACAATATTCACTACACGCAAATGGATCAACACAGAACCACAAAGTTCAGAACAACACCTACAGCTAGCTAGCTAACTTCCACTCACAGCTGTCCACCCATGAATTCATAAAGACTAGTTCTACTTTATGGCTCAACTCCTGTTTCTCTCCAGTTCCTTACTCAGGAAAAGGAAGTGTGCTTTTTACTACCATGTATCTAATGTTATCTCTGTACATTTCTCTGCAGCCATCACTAAATTGTAAACTAGATTAAAGATGTGCAAGACCCTACTGCGTGTTCTTCTGGCAGATGAGAGCTCTACAGGGACGACCCTTTAGGACAAACACGTAGTTATTAAAGGAATGAAAAAAATCTGCTCAGTTGGATCTAAGTACAGATTCATATTAGATTATCCACAGTTACTTGTTTAATGGTTATCTATTTTCCCCAGGCTTAGAGAACAACACTGTCAGTGCTACATACTGTTCCATTGACGCAAATGTTTCAGATGAAAATTCAGTGTGAAATGTATTGCATGGGTCTCCGAGAAATACTTTTCCTTCTTAACACTACATCTGTCTGGAAGCCTTAAATCACTCAGAGCTACAATGGCTGAGTTTAAAGTAGAAACCAAAATAAAGAAACTGTGATGGTGAAATGAGAAAACGCTAACTGCACTGATGTTGAATTTTAAGTCATCCCATTGCTTGAACACCTAACTTCAGTGTAGCTACAGTATGTGTGACAAGCAGAAGATCAGATGGGTAAAGGCAACATGGGTAATCTTTATCCGTCCATTTTGGGTTCAAAGGTCTATCAGTCACCATATTGCTCTCACCAATCAAATACCGTTAGAGCTACAGGGTTTGTCAGTATAGTGGAAGGGTAAATAAGGTCGGGTAAAGAATTCAGCATGAGATTTGACTCAGATCTGATCGAATGGCTCCTATGGCTCCTCCTGTAGAAACCACACCTCGTTGCGGCGTCCGTAAGGCTTGAGTGGTGGGTCGTAGCTACAGCAGAAGTACTGCTTGCGCTGAAAGGGCGCCGTCTCACCCAGAGTGCGCGTCAGACGCAAGGCCTCTGCTCTGTACTCACTCTCCCCTGCGAAGCCTCCAAACTGCCTGTGAACAAAATACAATTTAAATGAGGTGAATAATTAGGGTGTTATTTTAACTGGGTGAATTATGTGGACTTTTTTTGACAGGATGTGCTGTCTCAGGGACCCAAAAGGCACACATGCACACTGATATTTCAAACAATATGCACCAGTGAGGTCAAGTAAACCTGCCTCAGGACCGACTGTGCCGCAGTAGCCCTGCAGCAGACTAAACATATTAACTAAGACCTCCATGAATAAAATAGCTACGAGGGCGTGCATTTGGGTCAGGTGGGGTAACTGAGCTGCATGTAGCTGCAATAATACACATAATAATAATAATAATAATAATAATAATACACTCTTCAACACACAGCATCTCAAATCAACACTCATAATACCGTCTTGCCCATGGGAGATCCCTTAAAATCTGTTCCTTGTATAAACCTTTAGAAATGAAACACCTACAGAGCGTAGACAGTCATGCCAGGCCGATCCTCAATCTTCACGGCACTGTCGGTGGGAGTCGGGGGGCTTTGCTGGTAGTTGGAGGGGATGCGGATGGCGACCATCAAACGGCGAGACAGAACACCATCATTCCGCGGGTACACTGTGATGATGATGGGAGCTGCTGTGCCCATGGCCTCACCTAAGCAGATGAAATGTGAGACAGGAAGTGTGTTTTGAAAAATGGGGGGGGGGGATAGAGGAGACAGCATAGAAAGTCCGGTATCCTCCCTAAAGCAAACTACCCACATCTAAAGGTCAGGTTTCTCCAGACTCTGCTAAACAGGCCATGTAAATCCCATCTCTATAAATAGCAAACAAATTAAATGACGATTCTGCACAGAGGCCCAGTTTTCGGTCAGCACTCTCAGTTAGCTGAGGTTATATTGGTCTGATGACCTACAGTGTGGAACCATGGCCTGAAAGGACACTAGTCTTTGAGCATTATTCAAATGTATCCTCCACTAAAGCTAAGCCAGTTAAGTGAGCCAGCTGAAACTGTAATAATATCTGGTTAATTTAAAAGCTTAAAAATTAGACTCACGTGTCGATCCCATCTTAATTCAGCACAGCATTTAAGGGTACCCTAGGACTAGCCACTGGGTCACACACAAGAAGTAAAAAGTAGTTAACTCCATGAACAAAATTAGAAAGCGAAGAGGAGATTGAGATATTTTTTTATCCTTTTATATATATATATATATATATATATATATATTTGATTGACTACTCACTCAATAAAGAGCCATGGTTAGTCATATAAGTCCATGATTGGCAAGAAACCTTGTATTATAATACTTACTTTCAATTATTAGTCCAGTGTCTTTCTTCTGTGTGTGGCCTTCCTCAGATTATGAAAATCCTTCTATTGCATTACATAAAGTCTTTTCTTAATCATACTTTCCTATGCGTGTGATTTTAAGAAAGAAATCTATGGGGCTTGGGGAGAGGAGCAGCACAGATAACTGAGGCAGTTTATGAGCCATACTGGGTCCTATAATGTCAGTGAACATGTCTTAACACACTGATCCACCAGGAAGTAGGATTCTCTGATTGGCTTACCTTGTTCATTGCTCCCGCCGATGTACATGAGCAGCTTCCTCACCAGTTCGCCTGTCACTTGGTCGAAGGTTCGTCCCTCGGAGGAGACCACAGCGTACTTGGCACCGTCATACCGCCGCACATCAAAGCTAACTCCATCCTGAATGGGAGAAAGGAAAATCAGGGGGTGCCTTAGGTGTCAGCAGGCCAACCAAAGCTACACATTGGTGCATGCACAAATTGCTTTTATGCACATACACCCACCCACATATATATATACACACACACACACACACACACACACACACACACACACACCAAAAACAGTTGTTCTCTTCCTGGGGATGGGTGCAGCGGAGATGTTGAGCTCAGATATGATTCACCTCTCACACACTGATGTTGACAATCTACTCCTAAGGATGAAAGCCTTGAAGTGGCGGGGTTTACACTTGGAGTAAAAGATCAGTGTGTGTGTTTGCGTTTGTGTGCGTGTGACTGCACACAAGTGGGTGTGTGAAACCAATGTGGGCAGCCCAAATAATGAGATGCAGATGAAACATATTCACACTGATTTGATTTAATTTCTCTTTCTGCTCTGCAGTGTTCAGTCAGCCTTCAGAGAATAATGGGCAAGAGATGCACGGTCTTACATAACAGCACACAGGCGAACACACACGCACGCACGCACACACACAACTCGCCCCCACCCCCAGACACACAGCGTTAATATGATGCAACAGTTTTGCATTAAATATGATTAAGTGGGGTTAATGTGGAGCACAGTCACTCGACTATGCTGCTGAGCAATAACTTTAATAGGTTTTGAAGGAATTTGGTCACTGTGGAGACTGTGATGCAGGTTTCAAATACAGCTGCTCATTCCTCTAATGTGATTATACTGTGTGGTATTTTATAGTGTATGCCTCTGTATGTTGCTAACAGTGGAATTTAATCTCATTATTACATTGTCTTTGGTTCTTCTTGCAATGTTTACCATCGATCTGTATAACAATGGTCAGGGCGTAATTTCCACTACATAATCTCGGTCTTATTTCGGCTTTTTATGTTTTCTCTTCCCTGAAGGAAAACTGGAATCTAAAAATATCTTGCAAATGATTTCGTTTTCATCCTGTGTATGATTTTCTTCTTTCTTCGTCTATTTTCCAATCATATAGGGTACGCACATGTCTTCCAGTTGCTATGTTTGTGCTCCTATCAGCTTTCATCCACTTAATCGTATGCAAAATCCACCCCAGTGAAAAAACCTGTAAAGTGGTCCTGTAACCAGATGAACAAACAAACAAGATAACACTATGTTATCATGAGGCGCTAACTTGTGACAGGTACCCGAGCTCCTGCATAGTAATTACAAGGGTTCTGCTCTGTGTGGCTTGTCAGTGGGACCACCATTAACACCGTATACAGATAACATACAAAGAAAAAAAGCCTGACTTTAGTTAAGCAGTGCAATTAATTTGTCTGCCGCGTGTCTGCGTTTGTGTGCATGTGTGTGTTTAGCTGCTGTCTTGTGCCGGCTTATACAGTGATAATTACTCTGTGCCTGAAGAGACCACACAAAAGGTGTTATCAACACTGTGCCTTGTCGTTCCATGTTCTGTTAAAATAATCGTCGACATTCATTTGCAAACTTCTAGCTGAGCTCAACCCATATGTTGCTGTTGCTCTGCTGTGAATGTGTGTGTATATGTGTGTATATGTGTGTATGCCCTGTCTGCCTGTATTCTGTGTCAGTTTTAATTAAGAGGGTAAGGTGTCAGAGAGCTCCACAGATCAGGTGACAAGCTCTGATTTCAATACCTGCTGTTTAAAGAAGTCAGTCAAGTCCAGAGATTTGATGAAGCTCTGACTTTTTAAGGCTGTTTAATGAACAGGAAGTGTGGCCACTGTAGTGACCTTGCATCATGCTGCATTTGGATCAGGAATATAAATGATCCATCACTAATTAAGATCCTCTTTGTCCACTTTCCTGCAAAAATGGAAACCTTCTCTTAAAGAGCACTGCTCAAATGTGAGTATTTAGAACAACATACTGCTGGCTTAAAACAGTATTTTTATTTATTTATTTCAGCTTCAGACAATAGATGTTAGTATGCGGTGTCAGAACAGATCTGCCTTCCTGTGCGTGTGTGTGGGTAAATGTGTCACTTTGGGTCATCTGAGTTCGTGCCTGTCTGGGCTGGAAGTCCTCTTTGTCTATCAGTCTATCCGCCTTTGTGTCCCTGTCAAAAGTGAGCTGCTATTCAAAGATAAACACACAAAGCCACTTTCAGAACCCCATGCCAACTGTGACATTACATGGCTACATGCACATTTACAGTAGGGCACTGCAGGTCAACGGTCCATGAGAGAAGGACCTCGAAATGGCTGTTTGGCATTTGCTTCAATTAACAACACATCACTGAGTTCACTGAAATCTCTCCAACGTGTGCACGTACATTTAATACGGTCAAACACAGTATATACACAAACACAACAGGGGGCGGGGTGGGGGTGAGGTGCTGACATGGAAAGGGCATGACCTTCCTCCTCACACGTCACCGTGCTCATCAGAGACGTTCCCGTGTATCAGTGTGCACACCCAATCCATATCTGAGCTCATGGGTTAACCACAAACACGTCTGATCTGCATCCTCTTCCAGGGCAGGGTCACTTAGCTCGTCCCCTGTGGTTTCACGTGCACGTACACACGCGCGCAGTGTCTCTTTCTCACACACATGCATCTACAATGTCGGGATGGAAAAAACAGTGAACCCGCAGCTTTGCGCGCAACAATGAAACCATTCTGACTCTGGTCTACTGTGTGTGTATGTGTGTAATTTACACAGAGCTCAGCATCAGCATCTTTATTCATGTCTGCCTTGTTGATTGGCAGAGGACCTCTGGCTGGTTTGCCCCTCTGCCCCACACTGCGGCTCAGCGGGCATCCTTATAGGTCACAAGCAATTAACTGCCAGGCTGTTAGTCAAGGTTACAGGGGTTGTTACAACATCTGGAAAAACACCGCAATGACAATTTACAGAGAAAATTGCCTCAGCATAACCTAGTTAGTGTTAAGTGCTGGGTAAAATATTTATGCAAACAGAAGGGGGAAACCGTGCACCTTTACAGTACAGCAGGATTACTGTGCGTAATCATTGCTGCGTAAAGATACGGAGAGAGGCGCATAAAAAGACAGAATTAGCAGACGCTTTAAAGACATCAGAGTGATGAAGTTGTGTGTGACAGGTGTCCGCGCACTGCTTACCTTCGTCTCACTGCTCAGCAATTTATATTCCGTCTCCTCGGTGTTCCCGAAGAGCGAATTCTTGATCATGCCAAACATGTCGCTTCGGCCAGGTCACCTCTCCTCTCTCTGCTCCTTTGGTTCGCTCTTTGTCCTCCTCCCTTTCGTCCTTGTGCTTTGTTTGTTTGCTTTTTTATTTGCAAATCAACTTCCTTTATTCGGATGACAGCTCCCTTATTATGTGGTCGTCCAACTCCTAGAAAAAAAAACCTTGATAAACAAGAGGTAACTTCGAGCTGTATCCAGATGCTCCAAAGCGCAGATTTCTCCTCCAGAGAAGAGCGCGCACCGTGTTCCACAGAGCACTGACCTCTCTCCTCAACAGATGCTTTTTTTTTCCCCTCTCGGAGGCAGAAGTTGCAGATGCTGACTCCTCGCCCCTTCGCCGAACCAAGGAATGAACAAAATCAGCCTCCACTCTGACGGGTGGAGTGTCTCCGCCCTCCTCCTTCGCTCCTAGTTTTTTTCCTCTCACCAGCTTGACGCTCACTTATATGACCACCTTTCACTCAGAATGGTTTAGGCTCACTTAAAGTGGGGACATCAAGATTACAGCATGGGGCTAATCTCCCATGACTTATTACCCCCAGATGAGATGAAGTTGCGTTGACATTAAAAATGCATTGACTTAACTAATTCTCTGGTATGAGATGCAGCATTATAGTCTGCAGGGAGCCACTCCCCCCCACAAAAACCTTCAGTGCCACTCAGCTTTTGTTAGGGTTTCTCTCTCATTCTGCTTGACATGGCTGTCTGGTCCAGGATGCATTAAACAGTGGGGCGTGGAGAAGCACATTTAAATCCTGCTCTTTGTGCAATATAAAATTTGACACAAGCCGTTGGTTTGTCTGTATACATCATTGGACTTTCTTTTCCATAGTCGAGTGTGTTTTTGTGTGTGTGTGTGTGTGTGTGTGTGTGTGTGTTAGTTTGTTGCAGTACACGGGTGCACGTCTTACTCCCCGTGTCATTGTGAGTTGTTTGCTTAAGGGTTAGTCTATTTAAATTCACACTGAAGGCAATGTTAGTCACCACCACTAGAGAGTAAAAGGAAGCAGGAAGGGTAGATTTAATGAAAAAATAGTGGGATGGATAACATTGGGCCAGAAAAGCCGAGGTACTGTATGAGCTAGCTGTGGATGGAGGGAAAGGTAAACAGAGACAAGAATCCATCCAAGCTGGCACTGCAGCATCCTGTACATATACTGTACACTATAATGTAATTCAATGTCTAATTGGATTTATTTTAAAGTGTATTTCATTGTATTAGTTCTTTGTTGAGTCAGAGCTTTTGATTCAAATTTTGAGAATGCAGCTTGTTGTGTTGTTAAGCAATTATTTCAGTCTCTCAGGGTCTGTTGAGAAGAGTTTCCTAGCTAACCAGTGTTGCTCCTGGCTGAATGTGTTTGGCATGTACTGTGATGGTCTTTATGGCTTTTCCTCTTGACCCATTACACGATGTTGCAGAGTCTGTCACTGATGCACAACAACATTCTGGGCTCTTTGTACCTCTGTGGGAAGCCTCAAGTTGTCTTCAAAAACCTCACTCTAAAAATAGCTGGCCATAACCTGCTGATAATTGCTGTTCAACTGAAGAGCAGAGTTGTTTTGTAGCTGGGGTTAAATGGCGTGAACAAAGAAGCAAACCAAACATGAAAAAGGATAGAACTTTTAATGAGCTAAACCAGTTATAAAGACAGCTGCACAAGTCAAACTAGACTCTCAAATGTCTCAAACATTTTCTGCATAAGTATAACTTTGCATCAGGAACAAAGACATGTGACAAAATGTAGATGGGATATTTGCTCAACTACAGTTTTAACAATATCTGTGCAGTTAAATCAAAGTCTCAGCAAAGGTTGTCCACAGTGAACCACCCCAATGTGCACTAATGGAAAAGCATGAGAGTAGAACGGGGTAGGCAACCTGCGTCTCTACAGCCCCTCTCCAGTGGCCCCCTGTGGCAGTCAAAAAAATAAATAATGTAATTGTTGTAGGCCTAAAGTGATTCTTACATTCTCCATTGTAAAAATGTGTAACATTTCGTCAACTAAAATGTGCATTATAGGTCCCAACCTTGTGCCTTTTCCTTTTCCGGAACCTCAAGTGGTTGCTACTGGCATACTAGTCTTAAGTCTAGAAAATAGAGAATTTGATAGTGCGTGGACAGATTTGTTTGCTTTCACAACCAATGCTTCTAGCTTACTGGTATGCTTGATCTGTGGTGAGAAATTAGCATTATAAAGGGGTCAAATATGTTTTGCAGCTCAAGACAAATGTTTATTTTTTATGTTTGGCCAAAAACGTCTCTTTTGATAGTAAAGGTTTCTAGGTTTGACAAACTGTAAAGAATCCCACAAACACCTGCACACATTTCTGAGAGAATAAATACATGAATTCACAGAGCCTATGTGACATGAATTTCACATACAACAAACATGTTAAATATTCTCAGTTATTCCTGTTGCTCAACTTTTGCCTGGCTCCTTATGTGCGTGGACATACAGTAATAGATGCATTTAATTACCAGTTTAAGTGATATGCAAGCAGGCTGTTTGTTTATGTTTTTATTGTAATGTGTAACCTTTTTCAGTGTCCTTAAAAAGAAATCTCAGAAAGTGTAATGGTGACTAATACTTTAATGGGACAAATGAATCAAAATGAAAATGTACTTACAGTCCTTTTGAATGGTTGCTTTTGCCTTTTAACAGTTAGGGAAATTGCCACAAAACAAACAACAGCAGGTGTAGATAAACTGTAGATGGCAGTATATTTACAGCTGAACAACAGATTTTTGATCACAGCATATATTTTCAGTTGATCAGATCAGATTATCGTCCCATTGAACACTAGTACAACAACACAACGGGAATAAGTCAAGTTCCTTCAGTCCATGATGGCACAATCTCCATTCTGCCTCCAGTCAAATATTTATCCCTTTGGAGATTACATGAAGTGAATTGCATGAGATCAGATGAAACAGCCGCAGACACGTCATTTCTGAAGAGTGTCAAGATTTTCTTCCAAGTTCACACCCACCCATTTCCTCACTTCTCCCAGCCTTTACCTCCTGGCTGAGTGGGCAACCTGAGCCCCACGAGGCCAGCCGCTTCTTCTTGGCTGCGCTCTCCCTTGCCATGGTAAAGGTTGTGCAGGAGCATGTGGTTCCTGGTAGACGTCAGCAAACACAGATATGTGTGTGAGTCATGGTGTGCCTCCTGCTGGGCACGGCAGTACCTTTCTCCTGTTACCTGTGAGAGGGGTGAAAAAAGAACGAAAAGATTAGTGAAGATGAAATGATGAATCAGATCGTAACATAAGTACAGCACAGCACACTACAGTCAGTTCCTTTCAACCGTGATGTATTTTTGTTTTGGTTTGTTCACTATAGAGAAAAATGAAATCAAGTTAACATTCATGAAGAAAAGCCTTAAGGTCTAGCTGGTGGAGTTTGCAAGTCCAGTAACAGATGAAAACATAAACAGATGTGCCAATATCACAAGCTTTTTCTGCCAGAATGTTGTTTTTTCTTCATCAACCGTAACAGCTACATGGGCAGTGAGCATCGGTCCAGCCCCTATAGACTTTCATATATACATTATAATGCCTTTGGGTCTTTTCAGAGCTGGGACAAAATACACACTGACAAGATTTGCTCCTAGCTATTTTGATTCATTGACCGCACATGCATTAAACCACCGTGGTGAGCCATGTTCTCCCAAGCATTAAGAATACAAGCTTTAAGCCTATATGCTTATTAACCCCTCACTGGAACAAGCAGCTCTCCTGTGTTTTGGGTAAACAGAGACACAATAACTAAGATGGACATGATGGTTAGAAACAGACAGCACAGAGTGGTGTACATAATAATTCAAATAAATATAGGCTATGTTGACTTTAGGGCTGCCCCCTGACTGAAAAAACATATTTGTGGACAAACAATCAAGAGATTTTTAATGTGCCAAATTAAAAAGCTGATTATAAAAAAAAAAAATTCTGTAGTTTTTCTTCCTGCGAAAATGTTTGTGGTCAAAACATCCTATTACAGAAACAATTATTTAATTAACTGATTCGTTTAAACAGTATCTATTTACCCAGGCGGATGAGTACAAATGGTGCTGTTAGTTAGTTCAGTTTCACACGCTTTAGGGATTTTAACACATCTGATGACGGATTATTTGTCCTCATTACCTCATTAATAGATGATTAGACTGAGAGACTACGTTACCACCTGCGTTATATATATATATATATATATATATATATATATATATATATACTGTCAATGGTCTCAACACTGAGCTGTACTACGACTCATTAGCTGCTGGCTAAAGTTAGCATGTCCTCCTGTCTCAGTCACCTTGCGCTCAACTATTCCTTGAAGATATTACAAAGCTGTCAATGACAGCAGTCCAGTGTTATGTTGGGGATTCACTCTACTCCCGTGTATATGACCGCCTGAAGACCGAAACTTATTTTAACTTCACCATAAAAATGTTGACATTATCATTCAAGAGTTATCAGGTTAGCTAAAGCTAGCCGTGCACTTCCCATGCAGTTTATATGGTAGTCAGCTAACTCAGCTAACGTTAGCTGAAACGCAGTCGGTGGGAAAACTCGCCTTATTCTTACGAAACTGGTCCATGACATAGCCGTAGGCCAGGGTCTTCTTATAGCCTGACCCATGGGCGGCTCGTAGTTCTTTCAGTATTCCTCTGCAGACTCGTAGAGGAGCTGACAGCGCCGCCATCTCTGACCGCTGCTGTGACCAGGCGGGCTAATCAAACCCCGCACAGTCGATCCAATCAAACCCCGCACAGTCGATCCAATCAAACCCCGCACAGTCGATCCAATCAAACCCCGCACAGTCGATCCAATCAAACCCCGCACAGTCGATCCAATCAGGGAAGCTCGACCACGAGGCGGCGGTATGGCACTCTAGTAAGTCCACGACCCGCGTGACGCTTCTTCCCCCCCTGACATTTTCCTGCAACAGTTTTTTAAGGTAATGTGTGGATTTAATTTAACTTAGTTAATCTTTTGTGTGCGTTCGTCAAATTAGTTTCGCTAATTAAGCTAAGCTCTGTGCCCGGGGTTGGATGATGTTAACAGTCACTGGTTGACATCTAATGGAAACCCTTTAAAAAGCAAACAATGGATGTTTCTCATCTTTCTTCAGTGGCTGTGGAAGTGCTCAAAGTGCTGAAGCCCAGTTGCTCCACTGAAGCAGCTGGCAGTGGTTGTACTGAGAGCTCACTCACAGCTGCACAAGTATATAATTAGGAATAGAACATGTATGCTCAGCATCTTCCTTGGATGCATACAGGATGGAAATAATGTTACCTGTGACATTTATCAGCACCATTGTCCAGCAGTTGTTCTCTATACAATGGCTGTTCATTGTGTTTTTAAATCCATGTTCGCAGAAAATTGGGGAAAGGTCAAGCAGAGACGGCTGAATGGGTCAAGGAACCACAGTGCTGCAGCTATTTGTCCTCAGTCACATAGATTCCACCATCAGCGTCACTGTAAGGTCATTTCTTAGGGTGCTTACGATTGGTTCAAATATTGAGCTTAAAATGTTGCACTCTCCACTCCCACCTGTCATTGTGAATACAATTGGGCTTGAGTTTGATTGTGAGTTATGCAATTACTGTCTGATAAACGGGTCATCAGAGGAGACGGAGGGGACTGTGGAGATTGGTAATCATATTTTCTTTCAGGATCTGTCAGCATCTCTCTGTCTCCCTCTGTCTCTGTCTCTCTTTGCTATAAATAACAACTTTTAACGCAGATGGAACAAAACTATACGTGCACTGTAGTCTTGGCTGTGGAAATCAATTGAAAACAACTTATTCCCCGAAGAGAATAAAACATAAGACTGGTTTACCTCACACTCTTCTTAGTACAGACCTCTGTGAGGCCTATTGTGCACAGTGCATTGTCTCTGTGTGCGTCATTTCAGTCCTGACTGCAGAAAAACAGACAAAAACCTTTGATGACTGGAGTGTTTAGACAGAGGCATAACCAGTGTGGAGATACACTGCAGTCTTTACCTTTTTGAAGGGTTCTGTTGACCACCTATCTTTGTGTGCTTCTAGCTTTGATTTGGACATTTGGGAGCGATCATCTGTCACCATAGCAACACTGAGTTTGGCTTAGGGCAAAATGCAGAGGAAAGGATCAGTCTGTTTTTTCACAGGACACAACAGACGTGAGCCAGTGTGCAGCATTACAGATTAACAGTGCTTCATCACACTCAGGTGATAAACAGGGCTTTCTGAGGAAGAGGAAGCTGTTTACATTTGACCAACTGAACATTTGATTATTCTATAAGTGGGCGACAGGAAATATCACACAGCTGGACCGACACACTGCAAAACTGAAGCGGTGAAAAAGGTTCAAGATGTGTGGTGATGTCCTGAAGGCAGGTCACAGGTTCTCAGACTGGTTGGTCCCGCACTGTAATCCCAGTGTTTCCAGTTATTTGCGCTCGTGTATTGATGATTGACTCTAGGGGGAGCCAGTCTCTTATCAGTTTCACACACCGGTTTGGTTCCTCGACATTTGTTGGAAGGCACCCCTCTCTCCCTCCTCCTCACCTCTCTCTATCTCTCTCTCTCTTCCTCTCTCTCTCTCACACACTCTTTCAATGAATACTAATGCAGCGAGTGGGCCCACCTCCCTTCCTCCCATCTTTTCGCAGGGATGGGCGGGAGAGGGGAGACAGAGCAGTTCCAGCTCAGTATCCTTCCTCATGAGGCAGGCAGTGCTTGACTAGCAGCAGCCCCAATGCCTTTTTTTTCTCCCACTGGGCAATATTGGTGATACTGTGCGTTGCTGCTGCAACAATGCCTAACCTGTGTGAGTGGCACGTGATATCAGACCAGAGTTGAGAGAGGGAGGAAAGGACATCTGTGCCTGCTTTTTGTCATCTGGATGGGAAGTCTTTTTTGGGAGGAGAGACAGAAGAAAGCAGAAGGCAGCCGGGGAAGGGGAACAACTGGCAATAGCCAATCCCCCCTTCCACATATAGACTGGAGACAACGGAGGCCACTGGAGTATTTGCTTTTATCTTTCGTTTTTTGTTCTTTTTTTTCCTCATCGCGCTGCTGGGAGGTGCTTTACCTTTTCATTTGCTTGCTCTCTCGGTCCTCTGTCTTCTCATCTATTTTGCCATTTACCTGGTCAACAATTTCTTCTATTTATGAGCCAGACAAGGAGGGAGAGAGAGGCAGAGAGACAGAGAAAAAGAGAAAGAGAAAGAGGAGGGGGATTTTTTTTGCCCCCTTTATTCTCTTTTTTTCCCCCCCTTCATTCATTCTCCCTTCCCTCTCCATCGCTATCACTTCCAGCCCTTTCTATCCCTGTGCAACCCACGCTCCCTCCTCCCCTCACCGCCTCCCTCCTCCTCCTCCTCCTCCTCCTCCTCCTCCCCCCCCCCACCACTCCGCTCACTGTCCACCCCTAACTTTGGCTACTTTTTAACTCCACCAGTGTTTTTAATTTCTTTACTTTAGAGACATTTTAATTGGCTTGCTTGTATTTTCTATTTATGGCTTTTTCACTTTTGTACCTTTTCCTATTTCCTATTTCCCCCTTCTCTTTTTTCCTCCTACCATCCTATGCATCTTTTTTGGGCGATTCTTAATTCTAACCATAGGTAGGTCTATTTAGTGTTTAGTGTCTGTCTCCAAGTCTTTGTTCCTTTTCTGTGTATGCAAGGTGTTTTGTGTGGGGTGCACATATATGAAGCACACCTTGACACGCACACACGCACGCACGCACACACACACTCACTGGCCTACGGTCTAGCTTTGGTATAACCATGGCTCCCCTCCCATCCGGCTCTCAGCTGATTCTTGCCTCATGCCATGTCATCCTCACGTCACTCTCCCCTTACATACTTATAACCTGTGTTTTCTGACTTTCTTTTTCGTTCTCCTCAACCAAGACCACAGTGACTCATCAAGCAAGCACCTTCTCCAGTCGTCATTATGGAACCCACAGTCTGACTGCCTTGTCATTTCTATGTTGTTGCACAAAAAGTATGTTTTTCCATTAAAGCGTCTGCAATCCCCCCCCCCATCCCCCTACCCCCTTTATCACACACCGTCCTCCTCACATGTCCTTTTGTTTGCCGTCATGCAACATTGAGAGACGTCCAAACTCAACGTTTCGTTCCGTGAGAGGGAAATGAACATTATTACCAAACCGTTTAAGTTCCCTCACTTCACGTTTATCAGGCGAAGGTCAAACTGAGAAGGGCCTGATTCTTCAGGGACAGTTCACGGTTGCTTCAAAGCGTGTTTCTAAGCCAGCACTTGTCCGTTCTGTCGGGGTGTCATCTGTGTTTATACACTCCTCTGCCTCCTTTTTCTCTGCCCTCTTTTCCTCTCTCTCTCTCTCTCTCTCTCTCTCTCTCTCTCTCTCTCTCTCTCTCTCGCTCTCTCTCTCTCTCACTCCCCCCCCCTCTCTCTCTCCGTCTCCCATCTTTTTGAACTCTCATTCTCGCAGACAGACACACACAAGCACTCAAAGAGAATGGACTAGAGAAAAAAACTGGCTTTATCATCCAGAGGATTTTTTCCCTTTTTTTCCTCCACCATAATTTTCACTTTTTTTTCACTCACTTTGCTTCAAGCTTTATTCTCTTTAATCACCTCTTTCCGCATCTTTTTTTCTCTCTCCATCACTTCCACCCTCTCGCCCCCTCTGAATTGATCTACCTATTGATTTATTTGTTGTTCCATTTTGTTTTTTTCATTCGCAAAATTTCATGTCCTACCACTCACATTTATTTTGCATTTTGGTGACCTAAATTTTGCAATTCATCAACTCGACTTCTTCCATTTATTGAAATACAAGAGCCACATTATTGAAAATACTTTTAGAAAAATAGAAGATAGGGGGGCTAAGAAGAATTAAGCTGACTGCAAAATAACTTAATAATTTGGTGTGTGTGGGACTGTGTGTGGTGTGTGAGCTACAGAGAGGCACAGCAATAGACAGATGCATAGCAAAGTGAAGCAAACCACACAACTCATTTCCTCGTTCATCTCCTTTTTTTATATTTCCACTTTTTTCCTGAAGGAGATTTAATGGCTCTCCTCTTCATTACATGAAGATAATGGGAAGTGGGACTTTTGAGCAACCGTCACCATGATAAAGGCACTCTGGATTTAGCTGTTTTCCTGTGGAATTACCCTTTAAATCCTGGATTTGATTCCAAATGCAAAAAATAAGTAACAATTATTAAAAACTGTTAAATTTGGGACTCTTTTTTTTTTTTTTTTTAAACTTCCTTTTTGTAATGGACTGAAGCTGATTTCAATATTTCTTTTTCAACTATTGAATCTTAATGGGATTTCACTAACGCGGATTAAAGACTCAAGCAACATCTTTGTCTATTAGTTGATTTAATAGCCACGATTCTTACAATTTCTACAGCCTACAAAATCGATTAAATTCAGTGTTTTTTAATGTTAAGGGTTAAATAGGTGAGTACGGTGCTTTGAATCCACACATGCTATTGCTGTTGCATGTTTTGGATGATGATTAATTGATGTGGATATTCATGTGGATATTTTATTAACCCACTATTTTTGCATGTGTGTGTGTGCGTTGGTGTGCCTACGAGTCCTGGATGTGTGTGTGTGTGTGTGTGTGTGTGTACTGTTCGAGGCTCGGATAGAATTTAAATGGATATTTGCAGATTATCAGAGATCAGTAATTTGCCTCACACCAACAATTATCCTTTGTAGTTTTTTTCCCCCCATGAGCCTTTAATTCTCTTCTTGAAACATTTTTATCCATGTGAAATAAAATCACATGCATACGCTCAGATCTCATATCGTCTTCACGTGTTGAAATGAATCTCCACACTTCATCTTGGGTTTTGTACTTATTAGCCACTCTCCACCTGATGGAGTAGCCACTTCTGCTTATCAAATCACCTGTCCAGTGCTGCTCCACACTCTTATTTAAAGCAGAGGAGTGTGTGTCTGTGTGTCTGTGTGTGTGTGTGTGTGTGTGTGTGTGTGTGTGTGTGTGTGTGTGTGTGTGTGTGTGTGTGTGTGTGCTAGCATGAGAGGGATTTATAGTTAGATCAATAAAGTAATCTACATGAAGAGACAGACTACATTGCCCTTTTCTCAATGCAATTATTTTTATCACTGTTATTTCAAAGAAACACAAAGTGCTTCACAGGAGAATGACAGTATATCTTCTATCTCCTAGTGGAGTGTGTTGGAATTAAAATCTTGAGTGTACGTCTGCAGCAAAAAGCACATTCACACCCCCTTTCTCTCTCTCTCTCTCACTCACACACACACACACACACACACACACACACACACACACACACACACACACACACACTCTTTGTCCATCTATCCATCACAGGCGCAGTGTCAATTGACCCCTTTTCTCTGATTAACTTTCCTATCATTCGACTGACAGTAGTTTGGATTTACACCGTGTGTGTGCATGTGTGTGTGTGTGCACAGTCAAGGTTACGGCTACGTACCTTTTGAAACCCACCTGGGACCTGCTCTCATAACCCCGCAACCATTACCTATTCTGCTCTGCGCTCTTGGCACACATGTGACCCCTGTAGCCTATCTACAGATGGGCACTTAAGCCCAGGTAGTGTGTCAAAGCTGTCACGCTGCAAAATGGACGTCTCGGGTGCCTCTGACACATGGCTCACCACTGTCTTTTTACTGTAATCATCACCAAGAGTGCATGACAGTTACCGCGCTTCTCGCTGTAAAATTATTGTCTTGACAATGTGGTTTTAAGTAGGCAGAAGAAAAATGGACGTTGATGTGAACGGTGTGTCCCACTTAGCTGGAAAACTGTAGTTGATACAGCCGGTTTGACTAGTGTTACGCAGAGGATGCTGAGAGCGGTTTAACTGATCCGTTAGAGCATAGCTGGGTGGTAGAGTGAGCAATCGTTGTCTAAATGAACAGTTTGGAAGACGGATACAGCTGAGCATCACTTGATGAGCTGATTTGTTGATTTGTTGGCGGGACACATACCTTCTTTCTATTTTTTTGCCAAACTCTGGATTGCATTTGGCATCATGAAAGACAAGGGTGTATTTTTTCAGCTTTTTCCAAATGAATCACAGGTTTCATTAGAGAGTCACCTTGGAAAGCAGCGTCATATTTTGTGTACTGCAAAATTAATGTTGCTGCCAAAAGTGATATCACAGTTAATGTTTTACACAGTTCGATCTTTAGTGTAATTTTAAGAGTGAAAGTGTGCCCTCATTCTAAGTGAAGTATAAAGATTGCCACCAAATCTTATTGAATGATAAATCAGTATTTGGTGACCAGGGCGCTACCGCATATTTCAAGCCTCCTGTCAATTTTTCATGTCTGAAAATTGTTTGATGCCAGAAGCTTACGTGAAAAAGAAGTCTGCCAGAAGTCTCCAAACGGAGCTTAAGAGATTTCATAGGCACCGTGTTTGCAGTCGTCATTGATAAACAGGCCAGGAGAGGAGACAGCAGGGGCTAAGGAGATTCATAATCCTATCCCTTCTTCCTACTGATTCTCTCTCTGGCTCTCTTTCTCCCCATGTGCTACCTAATGAGACGACAATGCAACTCCTGTGTCTGGCTCTGAGCATTGCATCTGCCTTAATGAAACCAGCAATAACCCTCTATTAGATATTTTATCTTCAAATGACTTCTGATCTGTGTTGTTGAGGGGTTGCTGTATTCTAAAGGGATGCTTGCATGTTACTGCGTGAGTCAGAAGTCAAAGCTCAAGCATTTTAAACATGGTTTTTAGCTTGCGGCGTGGTAGCAGTGTGGTGCGAGTTCACACCTCACATTCACATTTGCGTCCATCATCTTGTTAAATGGGCGAGTCAGTCTGCCGGAGCTCCATCCGAAGCTCGTAACTTCCTGCAGTGTGCATCTGAATCCCATTCAGCCATTAGAGAGCGAGCAGGAAGCCTATGTGGGACGACTTAAAAAGTACATCTTGATTTTATTGGCAGCGTATTCACTTCAAGCGAGCGGAATATGGGTCATGATCTGATATAAAAAGGCTATTCAATAATTCATCGGAGCTGATTAAGAGGACTTGTATCAACGCAGACACTGTCCATGAGAAGGGATGAGTGTACACAAAGTGTACAGAGAAGCAACATTTAGTGAGATTAGTGTAAGCTAAGAAACAAGCTAAAGCAGCCTGGGCGTTTCAAGTGAGCAGCGTAGGCCTTCTTTGATGTTTTAATCTACCGTACGTCGCTCACCCTTCTGTTTCATGTGTCGACTGCAAAGTGGCGCATGTACATGTGACGGGGTGTGTTTGTCTGTGATTACATGTTGCTTCCAGTGTGTGTACATGTAGTTGTGTGAGTTTGTGTGCGGCCCATCAGTCTATTAAATATGAAAAGTGCAATCTGTTACCCCGCAGAGACTGGTTTATTATTCATCGACATATTTCAATTAATCATTAATTTACCTAAAGTATGCCCCACACTCTGCCCTTTAAATTAAGACACTGAAATGGACTTTGTGTGTGTGTGTGTGTGTGTGTGTAGTGTGTTCATGATCTATGAGTATAATCTGGATTAATAGAAGCTATTTATTATTCTTCTGATCTGCTACACACTGTAGTTGGGCGGTTGTTGGGGATGAAGGCAGAGACAATTTAGTACTACAGTACATTTGGAGGAAATGTATTATTTATCATACTGGGCTGGATTCTCCTCAAATCAGACTGTTTTACACCCTGCAAAACTGCAAAACGCACACACACGCGCACACACACGCACACACACAAAGGGAGCTGTAAGATGCATTTAACAAATTAAGGAGACAGACGCATTGTTTTTATAGAACAGAAATGGCCTTCACAGTGGATTTGGATTGTAAACACTACACACGCTGTATTCAAATAGCCATTTGAAGCACTGAGTTGTGCGTTTTAAACCCCCCTCATTCAGTCTTAACTTATTCATTCTAAGGGGAACGCAGTGTGGTTTTATTAACTGACTTGTGATCGGCCTCTAACCCTGCGTCCTCCCTGTTCCCTCTGCAATAACAGACTGGCGGACGTCAGAAAAACAAGCAACGGCAAACATCTCTTCGGAGGAGCGAAGGGGAGAACAGAAGTGAAGCTGCTCCTGTGGAGTACAATTACCTCGAAATTGCTGCTTTACCCTCTTGACCTGTCGCGGATTTTACCTAAAACTGCTGTGAGTCCCCGCTTTCCAAACTCCTTGCTGTTCACAATCAACGGCGAAAGGATTACGATGTGCAGAGGAGATAGATGCTCATTTTTGAATCTCACCCCTTCCCTCCCGAACATCTGTATTTGCTTCAGCAAACCCCACACACCTAATGAGGTGTCCTGGTAGAGAGGTGTAACTCAATTAATCACAAAGGCTAAAACACATTTATTTTATAAAGTGCAGCTGGTTAGAGCAAATCAACCTGCTGGTGGAATGACACCTTAAAATGATAAAGGGCCAGTTTACTCCCATGACCATTTCAGTCTCCTTTGCTGAGTTAATTAAACTCATTTTTCTATTAATTGGCTAATGATGTTGACAGGTGGTATCATTCCAGGTGATTAGTTCTGCCTCCTTACTGGAAGAAATACCTCAAAAGTTTAATTAAAAATGGGTTTCAGGAAGCCTTTTACTGTGTTTTATTGTGTTTGAGTCTTTTTTTAAAAAAATTGACAAGTTTAGTGCTGCTTTTTCTGCATTTAACAGAAGTAAAAAGCGATGCTCTTTTCAAAATTAGAATATTTTAAGAGACAGTCGCTGCGAACCATCAATAATCATATTGCCTTTTTTCTCTTGATTGCAGTTGAGCCTCCCTCAGTCTGAGGCTATGAGAGGGAGAGAGGAGTCCCAGGCCGCACCATCATGCTACTTCTGAGACGCTGGGATGAGACTTTGGCTGGCAAAACACAAGGTAAGACAGTATTGATGCATGGGGCCCCTCTACAACTCGAGCTGTTCTTAGTTTTCTCGCGTTGTCCCTGTAGAGAACCGCTGAAACAACCCAGTCTTATCTCACCTGTGTGTGTTTGTGCGCCTTTCCTAAAGCTCAGTGATGGATGGCCTTAAACTTTCAGAGGTTTTTTTTGCTTTGTATCTCACGCTAGTTTTGCTCGAGGGTCAGGATAATGGTTCAAGGTGGAGCCTACAGATGAATGGTTTAATCCTGGCTTTTTAGCACACTGTGCACTTTGATCAGTGGCACGCGTCAGCGCACGTTTAACCTGACCCAGCCCCCATCGACTATTGGCTTCATTTGCATGGCTCTACAGGCATTGATCAGGCAATTAAGGGATTTGTTGAATGAGATTTTTGTGGCAGAAGCGCGTGGCCGTTTGGACGCGTTTGCGCGTGGTCGGCAGCTGCTCATCAGCATACTGTATGTGTGTCTGAAAGCGGGAGAGAGACGGTATGTTTTGTGTGATAAGATAAAAGAAGACATAATTCTCTCTCTGTCCCAGGACCAAATTACACAGAGCAAATGTATTTTGCCACAAGGGCCCACGAGAGGCCATTATCATATCAGCATATTCCATCGCTTTCTCATACATTCATCTGCTCGCTCCTCGCCGCTAAGCTTTTTAAAAAAAAAAAAAATGTTAAACTTTTTTTTTTCCTACCACCTTTCTCCCTCACTTCCTCTCCTCTCTGTCTCTTCTTTCTCTTTCTTTTCTCTTCCTCTCACTCCCTCCTTCTCCTCTTGTCTCATCCCATGCACTATTAATCAGCCGTGACGTTTAAGAGACTGAGCTGGGGTGCAGAGGAGCGAAGTGAGAAACTGAATTTCTTTCGTTTTTTTTGGACGAGAGTCAGTTATTGTTGTTTTGTGTGTGTGTGTGTGTGTGTGTGTGTGTGTGTGTGTGTGTGGGTTGGAGGGCGATGGGCTGTTGGACACTGTGTGAGCCTACCACAGATGCTACCATCATACAGTTACTCAGCTTACTTTAAGCCACTGCCTTAGCCAGCAGCAGAGCGTCAGTGCAGCTCGGTAATGAAGTGCCTCGGCCTCGGCCTTCTGTCGTTAGCTGAAAGTCACACAGCTGCCTCGGCTAGTGCTGACGCTGCAGATTGCCTTACTATTGCCTTACGTCACACAACATTACCATATAGATGAATTAACGGTGACGCTGACTCTCATTAACAACTCCACCCCACCTTTCTTTTGGAAAAAAAAAATTTGCATTCATACTTGCAGTTATAGATTATCAGTCTATTAGGGCTATTATTCAAGTCCAGCAAGCTTCCTGCTCTTACATAAACTGTTTAGAGCACGCACAGGCTGGAATAATGGTTAAAAGAAGGGCATATTAGAATAATAATGTCTCATGGGTTTTTTAAAAAGCTTTATCTCCAACCCTTGTGTACCTAACCTAAATGGGATTTTGGCCCCTCATTATGTCACCACCACTCGGTACCATTAATGAAGTGCAGCGTGGCTTTTCACTCATGTTTCAGTCAAATCCAATTAACAGCAGACTTATTATTTAGACTCCTGGTTAGTCATCATTCATATCCAATGCACAAGAATACGATGCTGAAGCCTCAATCTTTAATGTATGGAATATAATATGAAATATTTAAGGATCACCTTTCTCCTGCCTGCTGATGTACAGAATGTAATTAACAGCAGATTTCTGTATTGAAGCGTAACAGTGAGATAAACAAGCACCTCTTGGGGGTCTGTCTTCCTCCTATAGTGTTTTCTTTACTGGCTGGTGTTGCATTCTGCTGTTGAATAGGCCGGAAGGTTTATGTGCCTATTTTGGAAGAAAATTCATAATTGACATCATTCTTCTTTTATGCATTGTTTTAATGGAAAGGGAGTGGAAAGAGGACTTTTTTTTTTTTTCTTCTTTCCTTCGACTGTGTCCTCCTAAATTAGAGCAAATACAAGAGTCGGGGAGTTAGGAGGCTTTTGATGAAGAAAAGGAAAGGAGAGTGTATTTGGTAGTTGTTTCTGGGGACGTGGAGTAGAGGATAGAAAGAGTGCAGCTGTGTGTTTTCTCAGGAATGCAATCACTTCTGATGTGTCTGTGCTGCTGTCTATTCTATTTTGTCACCATATGCAAAATGAGACAGTGGCGTGTGGGCATAACTCATTAATTCAATAACTCGACTTATTCAGAGAAACTTTTCAGGCACGGCGAACTCACCCCGGCACGTTTCTCTTTGTAATGAATTCCAATCCTATTGTTCAACCTAGGCCTCACTGATGTTCAATTATCTTGTAATTGAATAAACTTGTAGGATACAGCAGCAGGGTAATGTAAGTCTCTGGTGGTTATTTATCTCAGAGTAATGCTATCATTTAATATTAACTGAATCTGGACCGAAGATCACGTCTTTTAGCTTGACCTGAAAACACAGCTAAGATCTGTGTGGCGGCATCGATTGGATTGCAAAACAGCCGATCAATACGGCTTCACTCATCCTTGTCTCCAGCAGCGGAGCAGTAACATAAGTCACCTGGAAAACGGCCTGCAGATCCAATCATTAGCTGAGCGTTGCACTTCCAACATTTGCTTTGGTGGCATCTGTTATTTTCTGGCACGTCCTCAGATGCTGCTGTGAGGAGGCTTCAGTTGCCGTCACTGTTTGTGCTCCAGTTGTTGGATAGATCCAATATTGGAACCATTAGTCTGTTAATTGATCGGCAGGAATTTAATTGACAACAAATTTAGAAAATGGATTAATTCAAAAGTACCTGGGGGGAGATTGGGTGAGAGAGGAGGACACGCAGCAAAGGGCCAAAGGTCAGAGTTGAAGTTCCTGTTCCAAAGAGAGTTATTTGAAGATGCAGTTCCTGTTTGCAAAGTACCCATGGATGTACAGACAACTATCACTGAATCCCTTTGATACTTTGATAGGAAACTTGATGATTCAGGAAGTTCAGGAGTTACAAGAAGGGTTGTTTTTTTTTTTGATGATGTCTAAGTTTATGGATGTTAATTCATGATGGATCAGCGATAATGAAATCCTTAGAAGGTGTAAGTCACCCTGAATCTAAAAATATGTGTATCGTGTCTGCGTGTTAAGACTTGATCAAGTTATGAGTATGGGAAGCAATATTTTAGATTTTTGATATAAATTGCAGGTCAAATCAGCAGGTCAAAACTTTCCTTCCTTCTCTTTCATCTCACACACTGTCTTTGCCTCACGTCTCTCCCTCCACGTCTCTCCCCTTCAACTCTTCCAGTTTGATAACATCTGGACTGAACGAATAATGGATTAATTGTAAAAAACAAAGATAAATCAGTAATGTAAATAATTGTTAGTCGCAGCACTGGATATATGAATGTTTATGTCTGCGTCTATATATGTCTGTGTATAGTAGTGTGTTTATACCTGTGTGCATGCATTTTACCTTTGTTTCATTATATACTGTATATATCTGCACAACACTTGACTAAAAGCTAGTGCGAGCAGCTGTCTGGAAGAGCAGCTCTGTGCTCGGCTTCAGCTGACTTGTTGTTTTCCGGCCTCACCTAGAGGTTGTGTTGTTGAAGCGGTTGAATGATTTGTTTCGGTGTGTGTGTGTGAACGCCACAGGTCAGCATCTTTACGCCGCCGCGATCAACAGGAAATACAGGAGCTCATGCCTAGAGGACTAACAATGCAGAGTGTCAGAGGGTTTTGCTGAGAGAAAGGATGATTGCAGCTGAATGATAAACCAAACATATTCTTTATTTGTGTGCTGTAGCACTACAGTTAGAGACTGTGAGACAGTGAAACCCATACACTTGTAATATTGTGTTATTCGGTAGTGGCACATACTAAATCTAGGTTTTACATAACTCTGTACAACTTACAGCAACGTGGTCATCAATGATTTAAGGGCAGCTCCTCAAATCCAGCTTTAATTTGGAATAATAACACCTGTGTCATAGTACATGATTAATGTTATGCTTACAGAATGTGATTAATGTCTTGTTGTGCAGAAGCTGCAACTAAGTAATGCTATTTAAACTTCTTTTTCTTCATCTCCGCTCCACCAAGCTACGTTTTTCTTTCCCATTATGAAAGCTCTGCTGGACGATAAATCAGTCTATACCAGAAAAGGGATTACTTTCCCCGATACAGTGTTCTAACAGGAGCCAGTTACGCCCCTCTGCTATTAGATTGGATGGTGGTGCATCATCAGCTGAGCCACACACACACACACAAATCTCTGGAAGCCTGTTTGTGATGTTGCAAAAAGTGAACTGGTCAAGCATGGGCAGTGACCCTCCACCATCCCTGACTGAGCTCTCTTCTGTGAATAGAGCTGGAGATGACCCGGACATGAGGCAGCAGCGTGTTGCTCCCCGCTGCTGTTGAAATGTCACAAGTAATGCTCACCTCGGTTCGGTCGGCGCAGCAAAGCAGAGCAAACTCCACAGCCATGCTCTGCTCCGCCTGCTGCCTCGGTCTGTCCCAAAGCCTCCTGCAGCCTTTTGCTGCGACTCTGTTTGCCAGTAGATAATATTAAAAGTTATTGATTGGGTTGTGTTAAGGACAAAGGCCCCCCAGGAGTTTAGGAGAGGAACTCCCAAAAGGGAGTTAATGCCTCTCTGAGGGACCTCATCCACATACTGTCAAAGTCTGTGATATGTGGCAACCAGGCTGCAGAGAGAGAGCGAGAGAGGGAGGCAGGGAGAAAGAGTGGGGATGGAGAAGGGGAAATAGAGAATGGTTGTATGTGCCAATCTATCTCGTATAGAACAGGGAGATGCTGTAATACTTCCAACCCAGGCAGACAGACAAAGGGAAGAGAGAGGAGATTGTGATGTGAGCTATTGTAACGGACACAAACATAATAGGTTTGTCAAAGTCTGACTGATTAAACTCAATGCACCTGAACACGATGCAGCTCTCATGCAGCCGTTTAACCTCTTCTGTGTATTCAGTCGATTGTTCCTGTTTGCATCTCACATT